CTCTTGTTGATGAGACAAAATACCCACCATTCAAAATTAAAGAAGGAAAGGTTTATTTAGCTCACAGTTTGTGCAGTTTTCAGTCCATACTTGGCTGGCTCCAAGGCAGAGTGGCACATGGCAGAGGGCAACAGTTCTTGGTGGCTGAAAACAGCAAAAGCAACAAGAGCAAAAGGGGCAGGGAACCCAGTCTCTTTTCCTCCCTTATATGGTATGCAGGCTACCACCCCCAGGGCAGGTGTAGCACTCACACAATCTCCATGCCCTCCTCTTGCACAGGATGAGGATGTCTACAAAGTAAGGTCCCAGGCTCCCTGCTGAGTCACTTAATTAAACTTCTGAACTTCTCAAGTTGACACAATGTATCAAGCATTACACATATAAACAAGAACAGGAAGATATGGAAAGCTGCTAGTCTCACTTATAACAATGCAAATACAAATTAAAAACACTGCCCAATCTCTTTATATACCACTGAATGGTTAAAATGCAAGCAGTAACAACTTAAGTGCAGGTGACAATGTAGAGCATCCAGGGGAATAAACAGTAACCACTATGAGAAGCTTCTGTTCCTGTTTATTAAAGCTAAATACAAGTATACCCATTTCACTGGGGCCAATAGAAATGGGTGTACATGTGTAAGAATGTTCCTAACAATGCTGGAAACTCCCAAAGTCCCTCAGTACAAGAGATGAATAAATTGTAATACATTCATTCCAGAGATTACCAACTAGCAACGGAGAGGAAGAAATTACTGTTATATGGGACAATATGAGTAAGAAACCAGTCACACATTAAAAAAAAAAAAAAAAAAACAAAAAACCATAGTTATGGCTACATTTATATAGCATAATGATCAAAAACTGGCAAAATTGACCTCTGGTATTAGATGTTAAGGTAGTAGTTATTCCTAGAGAAAATGCAAAGGGCAATGATAAGCTGGGGCACTAGGGAACTTTCTAAGGAGCAGGGATAGTACATGACTCAGTTGTGGGTACAGGATATGTTCACTCTGCAATGATGTGCCAAGCTCAGCACTTATGCTTTGTGAACTTCTTTGTACATACAGAATTTATCAACAAAAAGTAAAAACAACCAACCAACTCTGCACTTTACAACTTGTCTTTTACACTAAGCAACTTGCAGGTTCAATGCTATTTTTCCCTATTTCTTTTAATTTTTGCTATAAGATTTTGCAAACACATGTATTACATTAATATACCCCATCCAATGCCAAGATATAAACTGACAAAGGAACAGATTATTAGCCTACTTTTCAATGACAGATGCAAGATGCAGATCATTCAGTAAAAGTAGTCCACATACAAAAAATAGTATTTCTCAAGGTCAAGTCTATATTTCCTAGTCTGCATCTTTACCTCAAATAGTAAGATTAGTTTTCAAATTTTACCTTTCAAATTTCAGAGACAAAATGTTCATTTGGCTTATATGGCTAGCATACGTGTGTGTGTGTGTACTTGTGTGTGGTACTGAGATTGAACCCAGGCCCTCATGCATGCTAGGTCAAGTATTCTACCACTAGCTATGCCCCTAGCCCTGTTAACTAAATTTTACAGTGGGACTAACCTCCTCAAAACTCACCAGGGACAGCAACAGTGCTTCATTTTATATTTACAAAAGTTCCAAAGAGCAGTGAGGTACTCTGGAACAAATGTGTCCTTCCTTCTAACCCTCAACTGTATCTAGCCTCAATTTCTGAAATGAAAGAAGTGAAAAAAATGCATATTCCTATACCCTGCCAATGAGAATTTTGTACAGTGATGATACATAGGTGTGTGGGTATCCATACAAGAATGAGTAAGTATGCATACACGATGTCTAAATAATTAATTATCTAGTTAATCATCAGAGCTCCATCACAGTTATAGGATTTCTATCATGTGCCAAAGTAACAACGAAAAACAAAAATTCAAAAACAGTAAGACTTAACTCTGAGGCCTCCTCTTTTTCTGCAGTGCTAGAGATCAAATGTGATGCTTCACTCATGCCAGGCAAGCATTCTGTCACTAAGCTATACTCCAACCCCTCAAAGTCCTTCACTGTTTTCAATTATTCTATTCATTTTCATGATTTTCTTCTTTTTTCCTGTCTGTCTCGCCTTGCTTCCTTCAATTTCTTTCTTTTTTTTTTTTTTTTTTGTCTTTTTGAGACAGGGTCTTGCTGTGCAGTTCAGGCTGGCCTTGTGCTCACTTTGTAGCCCACGCCGGCCTTGAACTTGCAACAATCCTGCCTCAATCTCCGAGCCTGTGCCACTGGCCTTGAGCTCACTTTGTAGCCCACGCTGGCCTTGAACTTGCAACAATCCTCCTGCCTCAATCTCAGAGCATGTGCCACCACGCCCAGCGTGCTTCCTTCAATTTCTAACCCATGACTTTTTTCTTCTCCTCTCTTTAGTGAAAGTAATTACTCTAGTCTAGACAAAATGTTTCCAAATAGCTTTACCTCTTCCTTGACCCTCCCTACCACACTCACACACACACACACACACACACACACACACACACACACACACAAAGCTGCCAATGCAGCAGAGCCAAAGATATGAACAGCTGGTATGTGTTGGCAAGAGCTGATAATAGTTTTTCATTGCAATGGAAAAATACTCACTGTTCAAGACCAAACTACCAATAACTCCAGATCCACGCCTCAGAAAATCTAACATGCCTGCTCAGTGCACATTCCATAGTAAATCTTTAGACACTGCCTGCCTCTGATGAGGAGGCCATAGAAGGATCACAGTACTGCATATCTAATGCCAATGTTTCAACTTGTTTTTCCAGTCCCACAAGTAACAGGTCAACCAGTCACACAGGGACTCCATTTTAAAGACTGCCCCAGCAACTGAGAAACAAGTTAGGTCAGAAAATGCTGCACATCTTACATGAAAGAGTGGTAGCATTGCCACCAAGAAAATATTTAAAACTAATGGAAGTAAGGCAAAGGTCTATTCCTGGTACCATACTCCAGGTCACAAGTCATCAGGGGCATAGCAAGGAGAAAATCTGGAGGTATCTCCAACCCCATGGAAGAAGTCTCAGTTCCGTTTCAATAACCCTGGAATAGAAAAATCAGCATTTCCTGTTAGATCTTTCCACAAAGATAAGGAAGTCCCTCACCAATTGTTCCTATAAGGTGCTTCTTAAAATAATTAAGGCATTCTTAGGCAAAATGCTTTTGAATGGATCATGTTTCAGGTTAGCTTGATTTCTCCTTATCAGACTAGCAGAAACTCCCTCCTAGCTGGGCGTGATGGGGCATGCCTGCAATTCCAGTGCTCAAGAGGCTGAAGCAGCAGGATCACCTTGAGTTCAAGGCCAGCCTGGACTATACAGAGCAAGATTCTGTCTCAAAAAAAAAAAGAAAAGAAAAAGAAAAAAAAAAGAAAAAGAAACTTCTTCCTGGTTTTCTGCACAAAGTTTCTATTCAAAATATCATAAACCTAAAACAAGCAAGTACAAAACAGAGTTTTGGCTGCTTGCAGTGGTATGCTTCTGTAACCCCAGTTCTCTAGGAAGCTGAGGCTGCAGGACTACAAGTTCGAACCCAGCTTGGGCAGTTCAGTGAGATCCTGTCTCAAAATATAAAACTAAAAATGAATGGAAGGATGCAGCTCAGTGCAAAGGCCCTGGGATCAATTTGCAATACTACAAAAAAAGATTTTAAAAAATTTTTGAACTGAGAAAGGCTGAAAGAATACCGTGCAATGACAACAGAAAACATCAACATCATTAACAGATTGAGCCAAAAGAAAAACACCATGGAGCAATCTCATCCCTTGGAAGGCCCAAACCAACACACAGACAGTGAGAACACCCTATGGGAAAAGTATTACACAGAGGATTCAACTCTGGGCTAGAGAAAAGTTCCTAGGGTTAATTAATAAAAATGCCACGACCTGCACTAGAGATGTAGCTCTGTGGTACATCTCCTTACCTAACATGTACAAGGCCCTCAGTTTGATCTCCAGCAAGGCACAATTACTGTCATTTACTAAGCACTTGCTCTGCGCCAGGCCCTGTACCATGCATTTTCATAGATTTCCTCATTTGATCGTGACCACTGCCCTATGAAGCACATACTGACCCCAGATCTGTCTGTTCCCAAAGCTTATGATCTAAATAATCATCATTATTCTATGTAAAATAGAATTAAGCCAGCCTCTGAGGAGTATAAAGAAAACTAATTGTGCTCTTAATAAATTAAAATTCCCAATTTTGGCCAAGTATGGTAGCACACACTTATAATCCCAGCACCTAGGAGGCTGAAGTAGGAGGATGGCCAGAAGTCTGAGGCCAGCCTGAGCTACAATAGTGAGTTCAGGGGCTGGGGATATAGCTCAGCGGCACAGCGCCTGCCTGGCAAGCACAAGGTCGTGAGTTCGATTCCCGGTACCGGAAAAAAAAAACAAAAAAAAAGTGAGTTCAAGGCCAGCCTGAACTACATAGCAAGATCCTGTCTCAAAAAATAAGACCTGGCTCAAAACTCTTAAATATCCTCTTACTTGAAACTGTTTACACTACTCTATTGCACCCTCAAGGTATCTGACATTTTCTATGTGTATTTCAGTTAATTGTGTTTGTGCCTTACCTCCATTTTTTCTCCACAAGCTCCCTGACAGACGCTACCTCCAGGCAGGCTCTACCTCCAGCATAACCCCTCCCACAATGCTGGCACTGAACTGTTTGTTTTATATACAAGCCTGTTATTTAGTTTCATTCATAAAGACAAACCAAAACACCAACTAAGGCCACCTCACTGTAAGCTCTCTTCAAAGGGCCATGTGTTCCCAGTATCATTTGAGGTTAAACCCTAAAAAGCAATCATTTAAAAAACTCAACATCAAAAAAACAAATAAATTAAAAATAAAAATTAAAAATTCATCACATTAAAATATACTCCTCCTAAAATTCTTCACGTAAGAATTTTATTTAATTCTTCTTCACATAAGTTTTTTATTTAAACACTCTCACTGTTAATACCTTTGACAATAATGCAGTTCCAGGTTTTACAAGTTTTCCTCCTGTAGTTGCTGAAGAGCTGTTTTCAGGCTTAATTTTCTCTACCGTTTGTGTTTTACTTGTCCCAGACACCTTAGGCACTGAGCCAACACTCCTGCTTGCTTTCTTCATTCTGGGCTGCCTCTTTATGATGCATTTACGATCAAATCTGTGGAAAGAAATGGAAAAGAACAAAATTGGAAGACAGCTCTTTAGAAATGCTTTTGAAGGATTTTTTGTGAACTTTTGAAAATTTTTATGATAAAAATGTTTGAAAGCTAGCTGTCACTGCAAAACTCAAATGAAAATTCTTAGACTTACTTATCAGAATGCACCCTATTTTTACAGCTTCCTCCTTGAATAACACTAATTTGAAATTATGTTGTGTATTCTAGTTCACTGAGGACAGAAATGCCCTACTATTTTCAGTGCTTCCTATTTTGAATTCTTCCTCCTTGACTATTACTAATTTGAAATTATTCTGTACATGCTAGTTCACTGAGTAAAAGGAATGTCCAACCTCTCTAATACAACTGGGTGTAACTCAGTGAACATTATCTTAGCATTAAATGAAGAATAATCATCTTGGCATTTGGGAAATGGCCATTCTACTGGTATCTGGGGGTGATCCAAATTATCCAGCAAAGTCCTAATTTCAAATATCTGTTGTGACATTACCACCTCAGCAGGTAGAACATCACAGAAATAAAAACATTCAAGATCTAAATACATTTTCCAGCCTATCTCTCTTATCAGGAAGCAGTACAGAAATTCCTTATCAAAGCACTGGCCCCAACTGGTGGTTCAGAAAATAAGGCCACCCTCTATAGCTGTAAACAGCATGACAGTTCTTCCACCTAAGTAATACACACTTTATTTCAAGCCAGGGAACCTTGGAATAATGCAGCACACAAAGCTGAAGCTAGATAATCCCTTAAACACATTTGTGAGCTAGAAAGCAGTCTCTACAATATGTTTGGGAAGACATACTGGAACACTTTGCACAGAGTGATACAATTAACCAAACAAAAGCCCATTTTAAAAGTATGGTGTTTTATGTAGGATAATTCCAAGACACCATACCGAATACAAGTCCATCTATTTTATGAAGATAGCCATACACTAATAAAAATGAAATAGTAAATCTGGAAAAGAAAAGGCTCATTCCAACAGCCTTACTGAGTATTTTATGTATACTGTGCTTTATCTTGCCTTGACATACCACCATAGTACAACTGGTTTGGTGGTGAGAACAGCAAGGCAGGGTAAGAAGGTTCTGCTCCTCCCTCAACATAATAAAGCCTTAGAGCAAAGGGAACACACCAAAACACAGTGAAACTTCAAAGAATCTCTCCAAAATAATGTACAATACAATCAAATTACCTATCCACTTTTAAACCTTTTGCTTTCTACTCTCCTTTTCTATTTATGTAACCTGCCTAGAGTAAGCACTCCCTCTACACCAGCTCTACCATTTATTTCTTACATGTTCCCAGACAATACCAAAAATGACCAAAACAGACTCAAGGAGTTTCCAGTAACAGATGAAATACACAGTCATGCTGATCCCTGACAGCCAGTAATTTAGGATTTTCTCACAAAATAAATTACATAGATTAGATCTGCTAACTCAAAGTACTGTTAAAAAAATCAAATCAAGTTCTAAGAAACTTTCCTTTATCTTCCCACTTATGAACTTCTGTACGTGCCTTGTAAATGCTGCCCAAAGTTTCTTTTCTCCTCCAAATATTCTACACCTGAATTCCTTTCTATCACACCATTCAGACTACCAGTCTCTGCTTACTCTTCCAGCCCTTGTCAAATTGACTTTTTTTGTTGTTGCTTTTTTTGAGACAGAGTCTCACTCTGTAGCTCAGAATGGCCTTGAATTCATGGCAATCCTCCTGCCTCAGCCTTCCAAATGCTGGAATTACAGGCTTGTGCCACCATGTCCAGCCTCAAACTGACAGTTTCCAAAGTAGAATTATCCAACAGAATTTACTGCAATAATGAAAATGTTCTATATCTCTAAATGTACTAACAGGGTAGCCACTAGGAGCCATTTAGTGGCTACTTAGCAAAAAATGTGGCTAGTGTGACCGAGGAATTGAATTTTGCTTAATTTAAAGCTGCACACCTGTAATCCCAGCCCTTGGGAGACTGAGGCAGGAGTATCACCCTGAGTTCAAGGCCAACCTGGGCTACAGCTGAGTTCAAGACCAGACTGAAAAGCACAGCGAGACCCTGTCTCAAAAAAACTTTTTATTTAATTTATGAAAAGGGCTGGAGATGTAACTCAGTATGAAGGCCCTAAATTCAATCTTTAGTACGTGGGGTGCGGGGGAGGGAGTCTACCATGTGGACATACAAATGTTAAGTAACAGAAGACCAGAGAATGTAAGTAACTCTCCCTGGGCCAATTCTTCTTAAGCAACAGTAACCTGAATCCAAACTCCAATGGCTTCTGCTATTTTCTAGGGCCTCCAGTGTATCCATACACAGAGCTTCCTCAGAAATATGCAACTCTGATCTCAATGAACATTTCACAAGATATAAGTAAACTGTAACAACACTAAAACTATATTGTTCAATCTGTCCCTTCAGGATTTATCTGCTGGCTCTATGGATTTGGGGGGGGGCGGTGCTGGGGATGAAGGGTAGTTGGGATAGAATTTAGAACTGCACACACAGTAAGCACTTGCTCTACCCCAGAGCTATGTGCCCAGCCCACTGCTGGCACAGTATTCTTAGAGGAAAATTTCCATTTTGATGTACTAAGTATCAGGTTTTTTGTTTTTTGTTTTTTTAAACAAGGTCTAGCTGTGTAGTTTAGGCTGGCCTTGAACTCACTATGTAGCCTAGGCCAGCCTCGAACTCACAGTGATCCTTCTGCCACAGCCTCCCCAGTGCTGGAATTACAGGCATGCACCACGATGCCCAGCAGTACCATGTTATTTAATATAGACGCTATCTTTTTTAAAGCAGAAAATTTATTTCCAGATCTAGATCAATGTGTATTAAGTTAGAGCTATAAAAGCACAATTCTGAACTATAATCATGTTAATTTATATTTACTGCTTTTTTATTTAAGATAATACTTGCAATTTGTTAGGCATGGATGGAAACTCAAAGTTATTCCCATTATAAAAATAAACCCTCCATTTTAAAAGGCTGAGAACCGGGGATGTAGCTCAGCGGCACAGTGCCTGCCCAGCAAGCATGAGATCATGAGTTTGATTCCCTGGTACAAAAAAAAAAAGTAAAAAGCTGTAGTCTGGGTGGCCAGAACCTTTACCAGCATGTCTCAGTGCTTACTCTCTAAGACAGGATTTACAGCTCCAGGTTTACAGCCTTGCCTAAACCTAATTACACATGCAAAGCCACACAGGAAGTTCCAGTGTTTCCTTTATTTTATGATTAAAACTTACTAAGGAAAACAAATATAGGGCCATCGCTTATCTTCCACATATGGTAAACTAATATTTCAAATCAAACCAGACTACATATAATTAAAAAAATGTCTTGCAGGGGCCGGGGATATAGCTCAGCAGCACAGCGCCTGCCTGGCACGCACAAGGTCCTGAGTTCAATTCCCAGTTCCAAAAAAAATTTTTTAAAAATGTGTTGGAAGCTATTAATAGGCTATCCCACATGCCATATTATTCACCAAAAAAAAAAAAAAAAAAAAAAATCAAGCTACAAACATCTGACTGCTAAAGTCTTAAGGAACTCATTATTGACTCAGCATTCAACTCTTTATACAATGAAAGCCAAAAACTATGGGAACTAGTCAGGAAGAAAACAGATAAATATATGAATATAAGAGTAAGAATAGGACTATATAATTGTCCCTCAGTATTGTGGGATGGTTAGTACCAGGACCCCTATGAATTCCAAAATTTGCAGGTGCTCAAGTCCCATATATGCAAAGTAGTATTTCCATAGAATCCATACAAATCCTCTGTACTTTAAATCATGTCTAGATTATTCATAATACTTTTACTATTCATATAGTAAATGCCATATAAATAACTATTATACATATTGTTTAGGCACCAAAAAACAAGAAAAAAGTATATGTTCACATAGATGCAATGTTTTTGGTGGTGGTGGTGCTGGGGATCAAACCCAGGGCCTTGTGCATGCAAGGCAAGCACTCCACCAGTGATCTGCATAGCCAGACCCTAGATGCAATTTTTGAGGAGGGGATTATTTTCAATCTGAGGTTGCCAAACCCAAAGATGGGGGTCAGAGAGGGTGGGCAAACAAAACAGTACTTACTTTTGAGGAACTCATAGTATAGTGAAAGAAATGGGATGTAAATAAATATTAAATAAGTTTCCATCCTTCATAATTTTAACCCTAGCACTCAGAAGGCTGAGGTAGGAGGACTGCCACAAGCTCAAGGCTGGCCTGGGCTACATAGTGAGTTGAATGCCACCCTGGACTACACAGCAAGATCCTGTTTAAAATAAAAAAAGGCAAATATGTTTCCCTTAGTGGGCCATTCTCCTAGGTCAGTACCACCAATTCCCCAGCCACTCCTCTGTGGACTCCTATACTATCTGTGTCAAATGACATCATGATATTAGTCGAAATATAACTCCTAACCTGTTAGATGTCAGATATACTAAACTGGTGTCCCCCAAAGTGAAAGAGGTAAAATGGAGGTTAAGAGTAGGAAAGATTTATTGAGACAGCTCCTGAGAGAAGGTGGGGGTCCCAAAAGTAGTTTGCCACTGAAGCCCTTTGTCAGAGGTAATTTATAAAGCAAAGTCCCAATGTGGCTTCAACATGGGTCAAACTACAATCAACCTATAAGATTACAAGTATAGGTGCTGAACTAATATTGATCTTATAGAGAAGTGAGCCACACAGCAAGGGAACATGGAAAGAACAAAGGCATTTTGGAGAAGGTTCAGATGCTCTGGTCATCCACCTGGGTGACTGTGTCCACATGTTCTGGTCATCCCCCTAGGTGACTGATGTCTATCTGAACTTTACTGAGACCAGGTGATACCAATCATAGCACAATCTCCAGTTATTGCTTATCCCTCAGGGAGGCAATGTAGGACTGGTCACTGCAGCTTTATCTTGATGCCTGGACTTCAACAGATATGCCTCCGGCCAGTTACTGTGTGCTCTCATCTTTTGCACTGACTTTCTCCT